ACCTTCTTGTCCCGGCGCGCCGGTGGTAGACCTCAAAATGTAACCTCTCGCTGCCACCATAGCAACCTGACATGCAATACTGTATACGTTTAAAACATACATCGCTCACCTGCTGATCCCGGCACGCCGGTGCCACTTAAAGTAAAGGCGGAACTGAAAAGATGAATTGCTTGGTCTTTTGTAGTCGAGGTCAAACACAAACAACGCCATATATACGCTCACCTTCTGATCCCGGCGCGGAATTGTCGTTAAAGGTCACCTTCTTGTCCCGGCGCGCCGGTGCTAGACCTGAAAATGTAGCCTCCCGCTGCCACTATAGCAACCTGACATGCAATACTGTTTACGTTTAAAACATACATCGCTCACCTGCTGATCCCGGCGCGCCGGTGCCACCCGCGACCTTCGGATAGGGTGACCCTAGCCATACTTGTGACCTAGACCTAATCACTGCCCATGATAGGGGATCCATTTTTGGTGACCTGCTTCCGTAACCTGATTGTTTTTGATCTTTTTTGTGGAGGGTTGTCTTTGGACCAAGCCATCGGTGGGTCTTGCTTGTCGTGAGAGACTGCATCCACTCACCCAACCCGATCCGTCGGTGGCTATCCTGGTCCTCCGGTCGAAGAAGTCCGTCTCATTACGCGCAGGTCCTCCAGAGAAGAGAGGCGCAACGTTTGTGCTGGACTGCGCGTCCTAACATGTTCCTAGTACGTTCAAGGGTTGCTTATATAGTCTTATAGTATTCATTGTATAAGTATATATATATAATTATCTTCGATTAACTACGTTGAAATTTACGGAGCTTCCCAGAGAGGCAGCGCACAATTCCGGGTGGTGTACCGAACCCGAACCCGTCTCGTTTGATCGGGCAACCACAAGCAGGCAGTTCAGCCCGTGTTGTGTGTGTGTGTAAAACGAAGCCTTGAGCACATACTTCGAGAACCCTAAAGTTTACGCTTCTTACTCTGTTCCAACATGACACTTGCGGTCTACAGCGGATCGGATTAACGCGTCCATTTTGCGTGGCAGGTACAGCGCGGTCAGATTCCCACACCCGTTTAAATTTATAATATTTATAAGGCTTTCGGGTGCGGAAATCTGACCGCAACTGAGGTGTCGACATGTTGCGCGTAGGATTCTAAGGGGAAAGGGTTTGTGATGTTTTACAAGTCAAGAAGCGCAACTTTTGGCACCCCAGTGTATGTAGGTGCGCAATGTATAGTAATAATTACACCCCAAACATGAACAGAGTTTCAGAAGCTCCAAGAAATAGTAAATGCATATAATTGCAGGGATCTATTTGCTAATCTATACTTGAACCCACTTGGAGCACCAGACGCGGTCTATTTGGATCTACAAAGGGTATCTTTTTTTTGACCCGCAGAAAAAAAGAAGGTGTGGATTCCTCAAAATGAGGACTTCACACCAAGACACTTGCTTGACTTGGCCAGCAAGACACCCGCGCAGCCGCCAAGGCAGTGCTTGAGAAAGCCAAGCGGGAAGAGGTCCGGTGTGCTGGCCTCCGCGGATAGCTTCTGCATGCTGAAGCGACTGAAGTGAGCTCGACAGGAAGTGGAAAAAGAGTAGAAGTGTGCTTTGATTGTTTGGGCGCGTAAAATCTGGTAACCCGGTCTGCCAACTTTATAGCACAAATGTTCTGCGGGAAGCCACTTTTGGGAGCTGCGCTGGCAAGCAGTTTCCGGCCTCAGAACTGGCAACTTTGTGGCGCACATCTATTCGGGAAGCAGTTTTTGGGACTCCGTTGTACCTTGTCTGTGGTACATCGTGTGGCGAAATTACGTCTGTGAGGTCGCTGCCACTGCGCCACGGCGTTTGGCGCGGCCTCAGGGGAAAGTGTTTTGGCGTGGCTCCGTGCCACATGGTTCCGTGCCATCGGGAAACGAAAAGCATGTGTGCGTAAAGACGCCATGTTGCTTGGAGCGGGCTGATTGGCGGTGTCAACGGGGCTTGGGGTTACATTGTTGTATCGAGAGAAGCGGGTCAATGGCACACCGCACGGCGGTGACGTTGTATCTAGTCAGTGGTACACACGGTGTCCCACAAGAAAGCCCTACGGTCGACAAGAGTGTCCTCACAACTGCCTTGCAATTGTCAAGCCAGCGTGCTTTCCAAAGAGTGTCACGCAAGAGTGTCCCACAAGCGTGTTCCACAAGGGCGTCCCGCGAGAGTCCTACAGGTGTTACAAGCGTGTCCCTGCAAGAGTGTTGTACATGGGACCACCACAAGCCCCACTGGTATATCTTGAGGCTATCACATCTACTTACTCTATTTTGGCACTAGCGCCGTTTTCATCAACATCAATTTTCTCATCATCATCATCATCATCAGAATCGCTACTTTGTGTTATCTCCCACTGTGTTTTTGGGCCACCCTGTCGTCAAGTCTTCTGTTGTTTCGTTTTGCCTTTCCTTACTCCGCATGTAGTTGATTCTGGTTGGCGTTGGCCCCTGTCATCACCCTACGATTGTCAAAAAGTCTTCAAATTGCCGTGTGCCGGGGCACCATATATATATATTCTCAAATCTGTTTCCAGCTTCATGACCACGTGACAAGCACCATTAGGATCACGGCGGTGTGTGCATGTACTGACATACACGAAGAAGCGAGGGCGTGCAACGGTGTGCATGCAAATCTCCAAGGTATGGTACGGTGCAGGTTGGGCGACTCGCATCTCTTCGAAGCGGCCAACGATGGCACCTTGTCCTATTACGCATCCTGCCGCAAGAAGCGGGTCAAAGCCACGTGGCTTAGGTCGGCATATGCTTTTTTGGGCCTTGTCAACCACAGCCAGATCCCATCTGAGATTGCGATGACAGGGAAGATGAATGATCAAGTCTTTGATTTGCAACTTGGCCAGTGGAAGGAACGTTTTCCAGAAAACAGTTGCATCATGCGGAGCCTAGGAAATATGACAAGTTGGAAATTCATGAAGGATGTTGATCAGGCGTAAGGCCCTGTGCTGAAGAAACAACATGGAACTCCGGTCCCAACCCTAGGAAGCTGCCTGTCACCAGAAGCACGGGAAGAACAGTCCATGTCCTTGCTGCCACTCGCCTTAAAGCAGTGAGCAAGCACAGCCAAACGAGTCAGCTGTTTGTTCCAGAAGGCGCCGTCAACCAGGTGCCATGCCGCTGTGTAGGTGTTTAACAACCAATACTTACGAAAGCCAGTCGGCAGGCAGCCTAGAGTCTAGAGTGAGTTGTGGATTGATTTGCGAACCAAGTGAGTTATAGGTGGGTTAAGGATGGTTATATAAGGTGTTGGGGATCTTTCAGATTGCAGGAGGGATGGTGGTTCCTGCAAAATGTTCCGTGACAAACTCGTTATTTTGTTCAACATCCTGTAGCCTCTCAACCTGCAATAGTAAGAGGCATGCAACAGGTCAGATCCGTGTTTCTGAATGGTGTTCTGAAAAATCTTGCAAATAACGGTGCTGGTGCCTAGGAAAGAAAAGCGATTTTGACAGTACGTGTCTTATTTTTGAAGGTTTTGGCGGCCCGCAAGGGCCAAAATCGCTCTTACAAATGCCGCTAGAATGCATAGGGAAATGACCCGAAGCCCGCTCAGAAAAGGAACGGAACAAGTCATGTGTTCCTCTGGTTTGTGCCCAGAAAGTGCCAGAACATGTTGTCCACGGATTGCTGGTGGCTGCTGGTGTTTGTGCTAAAAAGGATGGTCACGCACAAACAAACGATCGAACAAAGGAAAGAAAGAACGGACAAACGAAAGAGCGAAGAGGCCTGGAGCGTATACCACTCCAGAGTCTTTATACGGTGAAGACAGGAGGTTCCAGGAGGGATGCATTGGTGGTTGTCTCATAGCACAGCACTGGGGAGAAGGTTGAAGGCGAATGTATTTATGAATTACTGTAATGGTTGTCTCAGCCATGCAGTTGCGCGAACATTATTTAAATATGTTCACGCATGTTGAATCTTTGCAAAGCTTCCCGATGATGAGGAGTATGTGTTGGATGGATGCAAGCTGCTTGAGATTCTGCTGTGATCATGTTTGGACATGTGCAATCAATGTTCTCAAAACATCTCAAAACCATACATCGCCATGAAAAGGAAGAGTTGGTGAATTCTACACTGCAAATAGCAGTGCTTCTGACGAGGACCCAAATGTCGGTGAATCATGGGCATCGTTTCTTTTTGACAGAGGAGCGTCACGTGGAGGGCGATAAAGACTCAAAGCAGCAGCTTGCATGACACAGCAATGCTGGAACTGCTTCTCAATGGGGCGCGGACGAAAGGCCCCGTGGCCACATACGTAGCAATCGTTGTGCAACTACAAAATTAATGTGAAACTGTGCAACCGTTTGTGAAGCATCAACAATCGAAACATCGACTTCGCGGTGCACCTACAGCCTCGCAATTGATCCAACTCCGATGACTACCTAGAACCGTTTCCACAACAAAACCGTGCAAGGGATCCCTCAAATCAATACACAGCCCGGTAAGATCAGCGTCGAAGGTACAAAGGTTCACCGTAAACAAACGGTCCAAGCGGTCCAACTCCGAAAATCCGACCGTTGAGGTAACCGCCCCACACGAAAAAACAATACCAACCTAACCACCACACCGACATCCCCACAAGCCACGGTGCCTCCGACAACGAACATGGAAGTCGAAAGCAAAGTGCATCGAAACGAAAACAAAGTCCATCGTACCTGGCAAGCAGAAAGCAACGTCGACACCGAAGTTCATCACCCCCTACCCAGCCACCCCTCCCCAGCGGAACATAAAATGGCGTCGCCAAACACTGATGACCCCGCACAAACACGTAAGCTTCCCGGAGAACCCCCCGTCCTTTGGGTCTTTTGTTTGGGATACCCTTTGTCATCAGTCTGAACATGTTTGAACTTTGAGTTGATACCGACTTTGGTGGCCTTCCGGGCTTGCTCTTCTATAGGGATCTCCACTGAAATGAACACTACCCCAAGACACCTGGATCCACCCATTGCTTTTTTGTTTCTTCACAAGAGTTTGGCAACCGGTACCGGTATCGGCAGGGGGTTGAACATGAAGATGTCACAGCATGATATTTGTCAGATTCAATGATGCGGATGAGAAGAGCTTTGCTTCTTGCAGCAAATCAAAGGGCACAAAACATGCCTGGTGCATGCAAGCGAAACAACAAGATGAAGTTAATGAAACGACAAGTAAGATAAAGTTCATGCGGCGTTATTAAAGAAACCAAAGGTCATTACCCCGGAGGGTTTGCGTCGGTGAGACGCGTGGAGCCCCTTGCAAAGGAGTACAGTATACGTGACAGAGTGCTTTGGTGAACTTCAAGGTTTAGGTGGAGATAATGCACTGCGTGACTGGGTCGCTTTTGAGTGGGCCGCTGTAAGTCCACAAGGCCTGGCACCTGGCAGAGACCCTGGAAACCAGTGGTGCTTGGTCAGAGCTTGGGAATGGCCATGGCCTGCCATGGGAAGAGCTTCAGCTTTAGACGTTTTTGAATTATGTCGTCCACTTATACACTTGATCAAACATGTTTAAACTTAAACAAACTAACGTGATTTTTGGATACTTGTGGTGTGTAGAGTTGCCGTTGTTTGATTCATTGTGTTTGACCAGTTCCGACCTTCCAAGGAAGCAGACTGGCAGGTTATTGCACTGGGCTTGACCTTCGGGATTGCCACCAGCAAGACCTCATGGATCGCTGTGCCCCCAGAGGAAGCTTGGAAAGCTGCAAGCAGAGCACAAAAGTGGCCTCCAAATCAGCAAAGGCTGCGGACACTGTGAGGTGGCTGAGGGTTGCTGAGAGTAATTGGCTTAGTTTGTGACCATGCCATGCTGAGCAAGAAATTTCAGAAGCTAAGTCAGGAACACAATGAAGCCGCCGGCAAGATGTCACTGGCGTCAATGGGATCCAGCTTGAGCCTTCGCTCCTTTGCACGATTGGGCAGCAGTTTGGCCGTCCTGGACTTTACGAGTCTCGGATCTACTTTGAGATCTTTGAGTTTGAGATCTTTCTGCCGTTTGGGCTCCACTTTGAGCGTCTATGGCATGGCAAGACTTGGCTCTTCAATCTCAGTGATGGACTGTATGCACATGGGATCTTCAATCTCAGTGAAAGAATTCTCATTACTGGGAACTTCGCGCAGCACACTTGCTCTTACTGATGCTGCAGCGGCCCCAACTCCCAAGAAAATGCTTGGTGCGGCTGCACCTTTTGGTTTGCACTTTGGCAGCACAGGAGCATAGAGAAAGTGCAGAAAAAAATCAGAACGGACAGCCATGCATGAGCATGGGCTTATTTTCGGAGCCTGAACATGGGAGCAACTGGTCGTGCAAACGAAGGGTTGATTCTTGAAAAGGCAGCACAAGCACAATGTTCCACTTTGTAGGCAGCGAGCGTTCATTTCACTTAAAGTGTCCAAGTCCATTGCAGTGCCAATCATGATGGCTCCTTGGATTGAAGCTGGAAGGGTCAGGCACAGAGAGAGAGAGAGGGAGGGAGAATGTCCGTCATGCCCTGTATAGTATAGTGTTGTTTGCTGCACTCGTCGCTACATGCAGCCTCGCAAGAAGTATGGGGGAATCCATGTCATGAGTCCAAGCAAAGACATGGACCTGAACGGCAAGAGTTCCGTACCAAGCTTTTGTTCAACTTTGGTGCTTGGGAAAGGAAACATCATCAAACAGAATGGATTGGATCATAAACGCTTTGCGCTTTGGGCACGTTCACACCATTGTTGAAGAAGTGATTCTGAGATTGGCCTCACCAGATTAGCTGGCCTCAGGTCACGCTGGACAAGAGCAATTGCTCATATCATAGGCTCCCGGATGATGTTGCTCCGCTGAATCATTTGCTGAGGAGTTGGTCAGGCAAGGTAATGTACATGGGAAGGTGTACGAGGCAAACTGTTATTTTGCATGCGAAGTGGTTTCATGTCATTCGTATTGCCCTTTGGTCGATGCCGCAGGTGTGGTTTGGTCTTCTGAGAGGCAATTTGGGTTTACTGACCTGGGCACAACAGACGTTACCACTCCAGACATCTCAGAATCTGTGGGTTTAACAGTGAATTGCCACTTGCACGCTGGGCGACCTGGCCAAACTTTTGCCAGGCGCAGCTTGAGCAGACAAAAGTTTGTAGCTGCAGTTTGTCGCTGGCAGTGTTTTTCTTAGTTTATTCTATTCAACAGCTATCGCTGCAGAAGGCAGCATTTTGTCAAACATGTTTTATGGTTCCTGTCCATTGCGACCGCAAAGGGGCCACGCGAAATCCTTCATGTTTCGCTGGCCAGGCTGAATTTCTCAGAGCTGGGAAACCAGAGCCTGGATTTCCAGATGGCAGTGGAAGAACTCCAGCCAGACCACTTGGAGATGGAGGTCTCTAAGTGGGGTTGCCCACAGTAGTTTGGCGCATTTTATTAAGGTACTGTTAAAGTTTTTATGTGTCCAAGTTTGCCCGTAGAATCTACAAGACATGGCCTCCAAGGTGGCCAAGAAGCATGTACTTTGCTTTGCTGGAGAGCCAGCGTGCAGACGGTGGTTTTGATTGGCCTGTGAAGTTCTTGCAGTTACACGGCGCTAACACAGTGACAACAGAGATCGTCGCTTGGCAAAGTGTCGTCCAAAACTGTGTTGCCCAGCGACTGACACATCAAGCTCGGTTTTTTTCGAACCATTCCTGGCAAGTGTTTGCAAGGGTGGATCCAAATTTGTTGACATCGCGATCTTCGCAATGGGACCGAACATTATTCAATCTAGCCCTCATAGAGCAATATTGTAAAGCCACAGGTTCAGCAGTTGTTCCTGGCTCATCTAGGCACGCCTTGACTATCTACCAACTGCATTTGCCATTGCGGCTTTGCGCCGCTGCTTCTCGAGTGCACAAAGCGCCTTGGTCGCGGCTTGGATGCAGTGGGTATGAACAGGATAAAAATAGTTTAGGACCACGCCGCCTGCAAAATCTCTCAAGTGCCCAATGTCCGTGCTCGCTCTCCACAGGAGCACAAGGCGATCGCCTGGCTACAGGCAAATCTTGAAGCCAATCAACAAATGGATCGATGGATCGCTGTGGCAAACGCCATGGTTTTGCAAAGGTTTATGTGGAAAGTGGAATGAGTTTGCGTCTCCCCACTTGTCCCGGATGTGTATATATATAGCGCAACAAGAGTTGATGGTAGACACTCCAAACTCTCTAACCAGCGAAGCACACGAAGTCTCCACCGAAACACGATCGTGCGATCTCAATCGCACTTTCTCACCATGTCGCGCCGTGAGCTCAAAGGCCTGATCCCACCCAAGCTCGGCCGAGAAACATCGTGTCGATAAATCTAAGATTCAGGAGGAATCTTCACATGGGAGGAAAAGTGTTCAAATGAATTCATTCTTCATCTGCTCCATTTGTGTCTTCATTCCACCCATGAGGTGGTGTTGGAACTGCGCCACTGGTCTCATCTTGCAACCGTTGCCAACAAATGCGACACATGCCATCCTTGTTGAGAACATGGGAACTTGCTCTGAAACTATGGCAATCGTTGTACACATGCCATCTCTTCAGTGTAGTAGCATTGTCCCACACGCATCCTCACGAGACGTGTCCGAATCCTCAACAATTCATCATGAGATTCTTCGATCTCGTTGCGCAGCTCTCGACTCTCGGTCCTCAACATGTAAATGATCTGCTGCTGCCAAATCAATGTTCTGATGAAGTTTTTTTGTCCTGCACATGCACTTGTACACACCATATGCCACGGCTGGAATGCCGATCAACAGCGACACCACTGTCACAACAAAAGCATAGCTGAAAAAGAAGTCCCACCAAGCGTTTTCCTGACTCAGCTCTTCCGTTTCATTCATTGCCTCTGCCCTCGATGCACTGCTCATTGCAACAACCATGGAAATCCTGGCTGCCACAGCCACATTGTTTGTGTATCCAAAGGTCCGGGCTGTGGATTCTTGTCGTGACTCTTTGTTTTTCTTCTTTGCTGCGGTGTAGCTGCTATCATGCACAATGCTCAACCAACCACTGCGAAGCATCTCAACCATTTGTTGTCTGGTGCGCAACTTGGTAAGTCCGTCAGCCAACATTCGTTCACTGCTGACCCACCTGAGTTCCGTCTTGCGGCGACGAATTTCTTCTTTGATGGAAAGGATCTCGATTCCAACTCGTTTGTCAGCCGAACTTCCAATGCCATCCTTCTTCAAGCTGTCGTACAAAGCCTGGGCCTTAGCATCGATGATGATTGCTGACCTTCCACAATCTGCTGCAGTGGATTCTGGTCTTGGGTCAAGATTTGGCCCAACCATCAATGCTATCATCGATTTTACCATCATCAATTCATCCATTGCTGCTGCACAAGCCTGACTCTTTGCGCTGAGGCGTGACCTGCACACACGGGTCAACTTGAACGACCTCCAGCTGATCAAGCTGTAAGGAACATGCTCACCCTTCAATGCTTTCTTCGACGTCATCACCACAACATAACCTCCTTGGGAGCTACCGTCACTCCTCACATTGAATGCTGCATCCGAAAAAACACAGTAATTACAGACATAGGTCATCCAACCCATTGCACACTGCTGTCATGTTCACTTTGAAATCTGATGCCTGCTTGCCAAAGCGTAATGCTTTGTTGAGGTCTGTGAGCAACTCAACTGTTGCCTTGTTAATGTTGGATTCTGTCAACGAAGTCGATGCACTCAGGTAGGGACACCCTTGGCCGGCTGGCCATTGCAAAGCACCGATGAGAGCTCATGCTTTGGACACCTCTGCTGGTGTTAGGGAATCCTGAGAGCTTCTTCCCTTTTGGATTGTCACTGGCATCACCTTCTTCATGTAGTCCTGGAAATCAAGGCTGATTGTTTCACCTGTCTTTGCAATGCGTTCTCCACAGTAAATGATGTTTTTCCTTCTCCTTCAATTCTTGCCACTTTCCAAAATCAAAAGCGGTCTTGATCTTCTGTAGAACTTGCACTGCTTCTTGATCACGCATGTTGACACTCAACAACAAGTCATCTACGTGCAAAATAATCAACCCAACCAATGTCATGGCAGAATTGTAGATCATGTATGTGCACTTGCACAACCTGCGCCTTTTGAACCCAATGTTCTCAGCCTCTGGTCTGCCACGCCACCACAACAAAGGAGCGTCGCATAGGCCGTATGCCGATTTGCGCATCCTCATGAATGTAGGGCCTTTGGATCCCAACGCTGAACAATCTGCAGGCAGCTTAACAATGATCGCACCGGAAAGAAATGCTGCTCTCACATCTCCACAAAAGATTGTCCATTTCAGCACTGGGGTCAATGCCAACAAAATCATCTTGGATGTCTTGTTTGCCGTTGGTGAAGCTTTCTCTAAGCTGAGGTAGTCTGGGTCCTCATAGCCCTGGAGAACTAAGCGGGCGTTTGCCTTGCGCTGGAACTCGCCTTCTTTTGGAGGCTTCCACACCAACACCCATCTTGCTGAAATCATTCTGCTCTTTGGTGTTGTCCCAACTCAGCAAATACCCAAATTTTGTTGTCAAAATATTGTCGTAGTTCCTGTTGTTTTGCCTTGATCATTTCTTCCTTTTCAGCCAGTGTCATGCGCTTCTTGTATTTTCACTCCATGTAATATGTACACTTTGTACCTTGCACATAGTAGGATGTCATGACTTCACCTTTTGCAGCTCGCGGCCCAAAACAGGAGTTGCAGCTTAACGGCTGTTTCTATAGGTTATCAGCCGTAGTGCTCTAACCACAGCCATGGACGCTCTTGCTATTCCTGGGAACGGTACATCATCGGTAGCAGTCCCAGCCGGTCTCATGACCGAGCCCACGGTGGATCTAGATGACCCCATGGGTTCAGCTCCTGTCACAGCTTACTTTCAGTTTGTGCAGCAAAATATCCAACAGGTGTACAACGGAAACGAAGACGCTATCATTGCTGAGGCAGAGAGAAGGCACAAAGAAATAATGGGACAATGGCTGAACATGGTAAAAACCAAGTTTCGTCAAGCAATCGATGAAGTAGCGAGCAAGCATCATGAGGAACTCAGTTCGGTAAAGCAACAAGCTCAATCTAGCTACAATCAAGTACAAGGGGAACCAAGTGCTGCAAAAGCGCGAATCCTCAAGCTAGAGAGTGAAAGGTCCATTGAGGCTGAAGCCAGAAAAGCAGAACTGGACTCCTTGCGCACTCAGCTCATGCACGATTGTCAGCAAACTGTCGCTGCCATCACCAGTGGTGCCGAGCAAGGTGTGGCAACGCTTCGTGCAGAGTTCGATGAGCGGGAAACTCAGCTTCGACGTGAGCTACGTGACGCAGAAAATGAAAACTATAGTCTGCAGCAAATGCTCGATGACCTTAAAGCCAAAATGCATGCTGGACCCGAGCTAGAGTATCATCCAACAAGTGTCATGAACACACCAGTGTCTACCCCTAGACATGATGACACAAAGAGGAAAAATCCTCTGGAGACCATTGCAGCAGAGGCTACTGCACGTTTGAGTGGACTGTTCGCACCCAAAGCGCCGACGGCCACCATCATCGGTGATGCCCCACCGGGGGCAGCTGCTCCTATCAAGCCTGTGCTTCCAGTTTACGGAGGCACCGCAGCGGATGGGGGCAAAACACCGACAAATTTGTTCCATAGCCCTGCACCTTCAATTCGCGAACCCCATAAGCCAGCGTCGTCAGGTGCTATCACCTCTGAGCAGGTGATTGAACTGGTCAAGTCACTCACTCAAAGAGAGTCAGATGAGAAGCCAAAGGTAAAGGAGGCAGATCATATCAAGTTGAATGACATGCCAACCCCTGAAACCTATCGGCAATGGAAACACCATGTGAGGGACGAAATCAAGTCATGTTCTGACAAACCAGATGCGGCCTGGGACTGGTTAATGGAGGTTTACAACACCGTCGATGAGAGAAAAGTTCTGGAAGAGCGGTTGTCTAACCCTGGGAAGTTCACAACGTTGGATACCAAGTTGGCAGCTGCACTGACCAGAAGTGCAAAGGGTGATCTAGCAAACCGAATCATCCATTACAAAGAAGAGAAGGCAAAGCTAGGCATCCAGGTTCGAGGAAGGATGATTCTTCTCATGTTTGATGACTATTTCAAGACCTCGGAAGAAGCGGGTAGCCTCTACAGGGTTGAGGATCTCCTCAATGTGGTAAAGGTAGGCGATACTGTAGCGGACTTGAAGCGTTTCATCAACCGCTGGGACGCTACCATCGCTGGTATGCCCGAACCACCGCACGAAAACGTGCTTCGAGACATCCTTTTGAGGCAGATCCGCACTAGCACAATCCTGAGGTACGACATCGATCTTTTTGATCGCGCAAAAGAAGGTGACCATCATCGGTCTTACAAGTTCCTACTGCAAAGTATCAAGGACCTGATAGATCGGGAACGCCTTCGTGAGAATCGATCACGTATCGCTGAGCGAAACCGGCTCAGGCCAGGTGATCGACATAAGAAGAACGCAGCCCCTACTGTTGATCCTCGGCGGAAGCGTTCGCCATCGCGCGGACGATCCACTTCTCGGGAGAAGGGCATTTGTTGGGCCTTTTTGGAGGGAAAGTGCGCAAAAGGGAAAGATTGCAAGTTTAAGCATGAAAAGCCCAAGCGCGATCCTTCCAAGAAGCGCCAACCATCCCGGGAGCGGAATGAGTCGAGGGACAAAAGCACAGATAAGGAAAAGAAGCGAATGACTAAGGAGGAGATGGCAAAGACCCCATGCAGGTACGATCAACAAGGTACATGCAGAAGAGGAGACAAGTGCTTTTTCAAACATGGAGAAAAGGCAGCACCGGCTCCGAAAACGAAGCCAAGAAAGGACTCCCCAAAGCCAAAGGCAAAAGGGGATACTAAGAAAGCTGCCATTTGCCTGAGCAATCGGTTTGCATGTCTTGCAACTGGTGTGCCCGGACGGTCATGTCTCAAGAAGTCCTGTCTTCCTCCAGCGAGAAAAAGGTCCAAGTCGTCTGTCCGAAGGACTACATTTGTTATGAAACCCGAGATTCGCACTATCCCTGCTCGCGGGGAACATTGCAAGATGTTCAAGCGTCAGCGCAAGTACAGCGTGCATTTTGCCACGAGCGATCGTGTGCCCAAGAGCGACCCAAAGGCAG